GAACGTTCTAAACATCAAGTATATATGCTAAACAATATTGCTACGCTTCTACACCTCAGTGGTATTACATCGGCGCTTCCAAATTTGTGTTTTTATTACATATATGTATATTGTCATTCTGTTACCCAACTCAGTGAGCTCAGTTTTTTATTCTTACATGTTACTCTGTTCTAAGCATTTTTACTTTAAAAGTGGGTGAATTATGTTTTTCTTATATTCCGATTAAGGTTTTTATGCCTTTAACTAATGTGCATGTAATAGCTGTAACATTATTAAAAACTTAAAAGTTTAAGTGGCGCTAAGCCTGAAGAGGCCGCCATTTGTTTGTATGTGAAACTCTTAGTTGGATAGTGAATTAATTCAGTTGGTGCACTAACTTCAGTGTCTTTTTGTCCAGTGTAACTGAAACTTAACTTTCACTTTTGTGCACCGAAAATTTTTTCCTCCTGCCCGCTGGCAGTATTGTTTGTTTTGGTGTAGAAACTTTAAATTTAATTGTAAATTTGTCTGTTTTTAACTGTATTTAACTGTATTTGGTATTTTAGGTTTATTTGTATTTTGCAAATTTTAATGAAGATGTTTTGTGTTTTTATGTATTTCTACCTTGCCGTGAAACGAGAATAGAATTGACTGAATGAGAAATATATCTCTAAATGGAATTCGAGAAAACAAGCTTAAATGAAGTGCGGCAAAATTATGCACAATTTAACGGGCTGTGTAAAGAAGTCATGTACTGTCCACATTGGATATTTTTAAAGCTATAAAATAAACTTATTGTTTGCGAACTTCGATTTTGCAACATAGTTTTTTACTCTCGGTATTTGAAACTCGCCGACTACACGTATGTAACAAACAAATGTCTACTTTATACCATAATTTAAGACTCTCGATGTTTTGAAGAATACGTCGTAAATTTGCCATGTTTCGAGGAGACAATGAAGTATGCATTTCACTTCCTATGTTGTTTTCAAATGTCTGATCGCTTATGTATATATTACCAGTCTTTTGAAAATCTTTTAACAATCATTAAATATTTATACCTTGATAGAAATCTTAAATGATATATAAGTTGGACAGTAATTTTATAGCGGTTCGAGTTTTAGGGGATTTATTAAGCTTTGCTAATATTACATTTTGTAGAGACATTAGGTTCTTTCAAAGCAGGAGAGATGAAAAATGAGCAATGCCCTCCCGGGACTCGAACCTCGTATCTCTCGAATAAGTGCCGAGTGTGCTGACCAATACATCACTAAGGCATGCTAAGAAGGCTGAAGAAATACCTTATATACTTCCTCTTTTAAAGAGCGATTGGGAATTAGGAGACCCAATCGCCTAATCATAGTGGTGGAAAATCATCATCCGCCACCTTTTAGTTCGGGCGCCACTGTAGAGACATTAGGTTATTTCAAAGCAGGAAACAGGAAAAATAAGCACTGCCCTCGCCGGGACTCGAACCTCAGACCTTTCGAATACGCACCGAGTGTGCTGACTATTGCACCACGAAGGCATGCTAAAAAGGCGGGAGAAAGACCTTATAGTTTTAACGAGAATCTAAAATAAATCTTCGACATTTTTTTCTCTATTATTTTCCAATTGCAATTGTTAGATTATTTTTATGATTATATAATTTTTATGCTACTTTCCGTTGAAAGTTAAAATCCATTTCCGTTAAAATATGTTAAAATGTAATCCTAATCTAGAATCCAAAGAATTGCGTTGAATTATGAATTATCTTCTGGATGTTGGGTTCTGATTAAAAAAAAAACTGACATGAGCATTACATGACTTCTTTGCACGCCTATTATATTATGCGTATCTTTTGTTGCACTTTATTTAAACTTATTTTCTAGAATTATTCTAACTTAATTGAACAATCCCTCAATGTAAGCTATTTCGAAATTTGAAAAATTTGAAATTAAATATCCGTGTCAATTTTTGTCATATGGGAGTGAAGCTTCTTGTATTTTTATTTTTTTCATAGCAAATGTAAGATCTTCCCAAATATAAGTACTAGCAGATCGCATTAGAAGTTAGGTTCGATTATCTGTTCAAAGTAAATATGTTTTTCTTTAATTCGAAACTGTCGAAACATGAGTATTTTCATCATTTAAAACACTTCTATAATTGGAAGTATATGTCTACAACCAACGATTACGTGTCATGTACAAAATTTCAACGTTCTGCGGCTAATCGTTGAGTTTTGCGATATACATACATACGGGCAAACGTAGGTACAGCCGTCACAAAAAAAATTGATTTTGAATCCATTTTACGACCCGTTTTAGAATAATGACTCCTTTATTTCGTCCGTACGTAACGACGGACATAAAAAATTGTCAAAATGGATTCGGGAATGGTCATAATGGATATTTCCGTTTTAATCTGAGAACCGAAATTTTTTGTAATTCCAATAGTTCCTATCCAAGGAAGTAAAATGGCGGTTTCCATACGTTATACATGAAAGTCGTCTTCCGTTGCCAATTACTGCCAACAAATTAATTTCGATGTTGAACTAACCCGTTTTTATAAAGGTGCTACTTAATGAAGTAAATCGTTATATGTTCTGTGTAATTACATAATATCGTCCAATTAAATGATAATCTTAATCCTTATTTCTTTTTTATTCTTTCTGAAGAATTTTTTTTTTTTTTTTTTTTTTTTTTTTTAAATAACGCAAAGTGTATTTATTTTTAGCTTACGTTAATTTATGTTATGTAGATTTTACATCGATAACGAATAATGTTTTAATTCTATTTCAACTGAAGTAGGTTGTACGTTTCCATTTGCTGAAACAAAAAGTAATATCTTTATTTATATAAGTACGAAAAAATAATAATAATGACATGTTGCTGTGCTAAAAACAATTATTATTAGATTTTAGTTAAAATATAAACAAAGTATTAGAAAAAGGCAAAATAATTTTACTGTTAAATTTCATCGAAAAAATCTGTTACTTACCTTATAAAGTTCACTGGCTTAAACTAAATACTAGCGTAACTTTTTTACACTGTCAGAAAAACTTTCCATCTTTTCTTTGCTTTACTAAAACAGTAACGAAAACAACGGAAGGATTTATTTGAAATTATTACAAGATTAACTCAAGTAATGAAATTGGGCTCTGATTCTCTTGAGCTTCACTTACAACAGTAATTTAAAGTATTTGCGAGTTTAAATTTATTCTAATAACCTGACTTTGTTATTTCACGACTGCTAGCTTAATTTTCAATCAGAGAAAACTGTCTAGCTTAACGTAGATAATGACAGAGCTTAACGTAGATAATAATTAAAGCACTTCACGCTGCATGCTTATGTTTTCAACCCTCTTTCCTAAACTTACACACTCTTTATTTAAATATCACACTATTTAGATAATCTGATAGATTATAACAAACTGTAAAGTGTAAGAAAGATTTCAGATAAAGTTATACTAGTTAAATTAAATCGGACATATTTTGCATATTATTTCACAGAGATAGTTATTTTTATTTCCCGTATGTTAACTTTTGTTGAAATGAAATCTGTTAACTTTTGAGTCAAAAAAAATTTTTAAATGTTATCACTTGCATTGGGTTAATAAAATAAAATAAAAATAAACGTCACTAGAACAAAAATACGATTAAAGAACAAAATTTTCAGTGGAATTTGAATTATGTTATTATGTTCAAACTCGCGTGAAAACGAAGTCGGCTAGAACTTTTGTTTTCTACTGTACACTACTTATATTCTTGACTACGTATAATTAAATTATATATTGTTGAGGTTTAAAGCAATTCCCAAGTACTATGACATCATCTGCTATCACTTCTGTTATCCCATGCATTATCCGTTTCCTTTTTGTTTTCCGTAGGTAGTTTTCTTGTATGCTAATAGTTTGTAATAAGAATTTTTCGATCGCTCTGCTACAAAAAAATAAATAAATAAATAAATAAATAAATAAAATAAATAAATAAAAATAATTAACTTATTTCTCAGACAGGATCTGGCTTTAATCCGCTTGGTTAATCATAAGTTGACTGTAATCTAAGAATTTGATAGAAATATAGGTAAATTAGGATTTTTTTTTATCGAAAAGCATTTGAATTCTACTTACGGATATAAAAACCGAAAATGATAAGAGAGGAAAACGAATCATGAGCTGCAGTACAACTTATTTTCATTACAGCAGTCATTTGAATACGTAATAGAACAAATTCATATTTAAATTCATTTTAAAACATAATAAGGACATTTTTGGTTCACAACAATACGAACAATTAAAAATCTGTTTTTCGTGCTCTTTTATTTCTTCGATTTCCTTTCTAGAAATCTTAAATTTTTAGCTCAAAAGGGCGTTAGACCCTAAGGGCTATTAGTCTCAAAACAGCATTTTGCGTCGTTTCACTTTCTGGATTGGTTCACTTTTCACCTCGTTGCCCCCAAATATTATCGCCATGTATTATATTTAAAGAAACTAAATAATGAAGAATTTGCATGAATGCATGAATGTTTCGCGCATTGTGAAAAAACAGCGGTACATAAGCTTCTATAATTAAAATTTTAAATCGTTCTGAGGAATTAAAACTGAGTATATGTGGCAAATATTCGTTGGGTAATATAAATTTGATGAGAAATTTGTAACTTCACATTTTTACTTTGTTGAAAAATTTATTTAAAAAATATATTTTTGTTAACAATAATGAAATATGCGTTGGTGTTCATAAAGTAATTTTTCAAATAAAGATTTGATTTATAAAACACGGGGAAACATTTAATGCGATAAGCTCGTGTGTACTATTTATAAATGATAATTCATTATAGCTTGTAAATTAAGATCCACTAATATTTACTGTCAAATAATGGGATCTATTTTTGAAAAAAAATCAGAATTTATTATCAATATTTTAAGTTATATAATTATTATCAGAATCTTCGACTTTATTCACTTTACTTCTGAATTATGCTACTTTCTATATTTATGTCATATTTTCCTGTTCTATTCATAACTTATTTCTTCTTTTCAGATGCAGACATTATGAAAAACAAGCTCCTGGTAACTGTGTTTCGTTTATGAAACCCTTTTCAATAATAATAAAAAAAAAAAAAAAAACTTTTAAATGGCATTAAATTAACTGCTAGTAACAGTACTGCCAAGATTTTCTTCCTTATGCAATTTATAACTTTCCTTATTCCTTCTACTGACAACAACATGTGCACGTGGAAGAGGTAAAAAAGGAAAGAACAATCACGGTAAGGAGAAAAAGAAAAATGATGACCATGCCTTGGAAGAACCACCGTGAGCTGTGACGTCACACGTTGCCATTGGTCGCAGCGTCAGGTAAACGTCACCGGGATAAGTGATTCGAAACACGCATTCTGAAATCCGCAGTTTTCAACGTCACGAGACATGGATATTGAAGTTGAAAGAGTTTCCTCTAAGCAGCGCTTTGCCGTGTATTCTTCTGACAGCGAGCGAGTGATACGCATCGCAGAAGAGGCCTCCAGGTGCTGTTAGGAAAGTATTGCACCCCTCAAGAATGCAGCTGACAATCCTCTTCTGTAGCACAATTGTCAGCGCAGTATGATTCTATCCAAGGCACCACTGTGGACAATGTTCTGGATATTAATAATATTTTTCTTTTGCATCGCTGAAACAGTAGTTATCGATGACTGCTGGTTGACTATGAAAGAGCCCAAAGGGGTGATTACCACTCCCAATTTTCCTGATCCTTACCCAGTGCCCATCAATTGCCAGTGGGTCATAGAAGCTCCCACAGACAAGGTGATAGCCGTCTATTTCACTCAATTCTACATGAGAGAAGGACTGAAGGCTACGGAGTATGCCTATCATTCCCCTAACGTAAAAATGGGCAAAAATGAATTTGGCACTATCAGTTCTGAACGCGAGCCTACTTATCTAGTTACCAACAAACCTGTTCTGGTGTTGGACTTCGCAGTGCGTGAACTAGCCAACATCCACATGAGAGTCAGAGAATACCTGCTGGATGTTTTTGGATTTAACATCACATACGAGTTCTTGTCGAGGAACGAAAGTATGAGGAAAGACGACTGTCTGTACCATCACTGCTCGTTTACCGGCAATTGTTATGCCAACGCCGGATTTGACAAATACTACTGTAATTGTTTTTCTAAATATTTCGGAGATGAGTGCCAGTATGATAGCGAATGTGGACCAACAGCGAGTAGGAATATGTGCCAGAACGGTGGAACTTGCAGGTAAGATGAATTTTCTTCATAATGTAACATTTAATAACTTGTTGATATTATAATGTTTTTTCACAATATACATTTTTGGATCAGCATTCACACTAGCATGTATTTATAGAACTATGTTTAATGTATGTTTCATTCAACTGCATCATTGGTAATGTGTCTGGTTTAAAACCTTAATTCGTTAAAACAATTATGAGAATCAACAAAATAAATTTGCCCTCGGAAACTATTTTCAAAATGTGCTCTTAAGGAATATGAAATTTATGAAGTTGTCAAGATTTTAAAAATTCATGTATCACTATCCGTAGTTTTTATAAATTTTCTATTTACATGCATGTATATTAAAATTGAGTGTTTTAATAGGGACTGTTTATAGAATGTGCATGCACCGTCCATATCGTGAATTGTTTAATTAAAATCATTTAACACTTCCTTAATTTTCTGTATCAATATCTAGCTGTTTATTTATTTGTAATTTTAATAATGAATTTTACATCTGATGTGCGGAAATTATTCTTACATTTGCTACGTATCGATAAATCGCTTCGATTATTGTTACCTTAACCTGCGAAAAAAAAATCTTAAATATATTTGTTAGTATCAAATTCAAATATCAGTGTTTTCCTTTACTACTTATGCCCTGCATTAAATTAGATTTTTATAGATTGCATTAAATTTAAGAATCGCGCATGTATGAAAATGCGAAAACATTCTGACATCGAGGCGAGTAAAAATACAGAGAAATATTATTTAAATAGTTTTTATACCGTTTCGTAGCTGTAAAAATATTCTTACAAGACAGTCTTTCTCTTAAGCACGAAATATTCTGACAACGCGAAGCCCACACACATTTTAAAGCTTATATTTATTTCTATATATTTTAAACAGATACTAACTCTCATATCATGATACAATAACACCCGCTGAATTTATCGTAATGTTTGAATTCCTCATTTAATATTTAAAACTTTCAGCCAATCATTTTAATGCGATATGTGCGATTTTTCTCACATTCCGATCAACTGTAGATTAGATATAAACCAAAGGGTTGGCAAGACACCGCTTGGCACCGATAACATTGCCCAAAGTGCATTACGCATCGATATTAAACCCGCAAGCGAGGTACACATAAATCTATGACTTTCTGTAATTAAAACTCCTATTAAAACGAAATATATGTGCATAGTGTCTCGTTAACCACAATACTGCGTGAGTAATAAAAGAATTCGGAGCGCAAGGATTTATATATGGGATATTTTACTGGAAATACTCCACATTTAGTACCGATAGAATTCCTAATATCATATACTGAGGGAGTAGTTCTAATGTTCTAGTAAATGCGTTGTAAACTTTATATACAGTATCCATTTACTTGCCTTAATTATTATTATTATTTTCTATGAAGATGTTTGCTGTCCTGTATTCAGAAAACGGATGCTTTTGTATATTTATTAAACAATATGGTACTATTCGGTTTCGAGGGCCGTAAAAAATCGCCAAACCGCTGTTGATGCCAATGCTGCCAAAACTAATTTTGGCAACCCTAATAATTGCGGCAAGAAAGGAAGTATAATAATAAATAACTAAGATTGATGTTTTAATTTAGATGAAAGGTTAATTTCATTTAATACTTTTTTATTATTATAATTTATATGAAAAAGGCTAAACATGACTAGAAGCATAAGAGTAAATAACTATTTCAGATCATTATTATAATTTATATAAAATTTGCTAAATATATAAATGAATGGATGCCTGCATCGCTATCGCTACCGACTTATCGCTAAAGCATAATTTCATCTCGTTGGTTGTTCAAACATAATTTTCTATAATGAATGGTGCCTTTTCTTTGAAAATATTCTGGGTAAAGTGCAGAATCGCTCACTTATTTGTTTGCCGCTTTTTACAAGGGTAAAATCAATTGGACTTTTGTCAATTTTCTTTTACTTTTTAAGTGAAAATAGGTCGATGTGTACAGTGTGTACAGTGTGCGCAGTGCTATTTTTGTGCAATTCTGGGATTTTTTATTTTTTTTTTTTAAGTGAAAATAGATCGATGTGCACATGGATACCGAGTATGTGCAATTCGTAAAAATGTGTCAAACAGTGGGAGATTCTGCACTTTACCCAAAATTCTATTGCCGACTTTTCGTCATGATCAATTATCAAATTGTTAAATCCATAGTATATTAAAAAAGGATTTAAAAATTAAACTAGTATTTCAATGGCATCTTAAGAATTATAGAAGTATATAAACTGAATCTGAAATCGTACGCTAGATTTGGCGCGCTGTTAAATGGGCGCGTTTGCTAGGTTTGGCGCTTTTGCGCATACATTTTCGCTGCAATTTTTTACGGTCCTCAAAACGGAATAGTACCAACAATATTAATACTCATACATTTCCAGTACGAAATAGGAATCAAAGATTTGAGCATTTAAAAATACATCCTAGACATAGCTTCTTAATTTCTGGTTATCTGCTTCCGTCTATCTGAAGAATTAAATAAGGCTTATCAGCCCCCGAGTCTAAAGTCGCTGAACACTGGTAGTTCGGTACGAGGTTCGAAATCTCGTGAACGAGCTGCCTGCAAAGGTATTTTCATGGTTTTTTCCATGTGTAACATGTATACAAGTCCTCGACCCACCAGCGGCCGAGCGGTAAAGTCGCTGAACATTGGTAGTTCGGTCCGAGGTTCGAATCCCGCGAACGAGCTGGCTGCATGGGCGTTTTCATGTTTTTCCCCATGTGTAACGTGTATTCAAGCCAGTTTTCCTTAGAAAGTCGTCCACGAAGGCATCTCCTCCCTTAAACAGATAGCCCTCGTGGCTTTGTCATAATCACACACATTTTAAAAGTCCTCCACGGAGGCATCAGTCTCCTTAGGCAGATAGCGCTCGAGTGCATTGCCATAGTCAGGTAAACCAAATAAGAATTAAATAAACCATACTAATTCATATGTTATGTTTTCAAATTTTCTCATTTCTGTGAAAATTTGAAAATATAACGCTGATTTTTGTTATTTGACATCTGAATTAGTATTTGCTCGACGTGTTATTGTGTCTTAAATAAACCATATTGAACAATTGTTCATTGACTGAATCGGGATATTTCCTACTCTCATATTCCGTGAGTTTCTATCACTCGTGGATAACAATGCTAAGTCATATTTATTTACTCTTTTCTGAACTAAATGCAGCAAAGACCCCATTCCGTGATTGTCCTCTGTATTAATTGGGAAAATCGGTCAACGTCCATAGAAAAACATCAAAAAAGGTCTTTAAAAACACTCGCTTGCCGAGAGTCTCAGTTACGCAAGGCAGAATTTTTAATAGAACTCTCTCTTTAAACCCTCAAGGCTGAACCTGGTCTTTGGGCCCTCGACCTCTCCTCGTGTCTCGGAGACCACCAAAGAGGAAGGCGAAGTACAGACACCGTGTCTCTGGCCATCGCGCTGGCCCACTCGGATGGCCTAAGACACCCCGTCCAGGACAGTGTGGGCTTCTCTTTTTAGCCATAGGAACAGGGTCTCTCTGACATAGTACAATACTAAGCCAGTGTATACAACCCTACGGGATAAAAGCAGAGCATTCTAAGAAGAAATGGCTCATATCTACGTTAAATATGTCGAAAAGAAACACTAAAACAATATTCAGCCAATTCGTCTCTAGACGCTATTGTGTATTTATGTTAGAATGTATCGAATATTTGAAGAATTTTTGAAGAATATTTGAAGAATATTTGAATTTTATCGAATATCTCATCGAATAATCCATTGCTCGTGCTAACAATAGGGCGAGTGATTGAAATCTGTTAGGTTTACTAGAACTGAAGAAGAAATTAGGTTCTGGTACATAATTATCTGTTCAAAAAGAAATGAAAATCATTTACGGTATGAAGTAATATTAATTTAAAGTTTCGATGGGTTAATCTTTGGATTTTGGTAACTTGGAGATTTTTTGGGGAAAATTTGGCGACCGACCCTGCTACAGCAACCTGCAATTTTTTTTTTTTTGACGCCATTTTGTTTTTACGAAGTAAAGGCATGCTTTTTGTTTTTTACTCAACATTTTTTTCCAACAATCTGCTAGTCGAATTACGCTTATGCTAGAACTTTTATGGAACAAAAGTGCTTAATCATGACGAAGATTAGGTGCGAAATTGGGAGAAAGTGCAGAATCGCCCACTGCTTGCCGCGTTTTTAAGAATTGCACATACAACACCGTATCCATGTACACGTCGACCTATTTTCACTTGAAAAAACATCCCAGAATTGCACAAAAATGGTATTGCACACACTCTTGACTTTATCTATGTACACTGCTAAAGTCCTAGCTAGTAACCTTTATCGCCTTACCAAAATGTCGCCAAACTACCTGTTACCATATTCCAAAGATTAGATGTTTAAAATCGATGTCTTTCGATGTTTTAAAATCGAGGTCTTCTTTTTCGACTATTACTAAAAGCGTTATATTATACAGAATTGTATTTACAGAAATATTTTACATTCAATTTTTGTTTTTCTTGTTTTAAATATTGTGTTTGACAACCCTTATTCTTCCCTATCTTTCTGCACCTGACTTTCGAAGACAATAATGCCTTTTTTAATATCGGAAGAGGTATTTCATCCCATTCCTCTTGAACAACTTTCAAAAGTCCAAGGAGGGTTGTAGATCGATGTTTGAATAATCCGCTTTTTAGCAGCGTAAAAGTCTATGAGTAACACATCAGGTTATTTGGTTGGGATACGAGTCAAGGTGATACCCATTTCCCGTTCCATTTTTTCTTGTTCCAGAAAATTAACAGTCAATTATTTCGTGCGGCTTCTTGCTCTATCTTAATGCAACTGTAGTGAGTGATGGCACTGTGGGTAAAGATGTTATTTCGCATTTTAAAAATGGGGTATAAAATTTGTTCATGATAATATGTGGATTTGATTTTAACATTTTTCTCCAGTCTCTTAATTTTTTATTTGCCGTTATATGAAAAACCAGCAACAATCATAAATCCCTTTTAAACCTAACTTTAGATTCTTTGAACCATGTTTTACGATTTTGCCTCCTCTTTGGTGATAATAAATAAAATAATCTTGCATTTAAATACATCCAAGATTCATCTATTGCGATAACACTTTTCCGTTATTGT